TTACCTCAGTTCACGAGAGCTGGATGGGCGGTCGTTTCCATGTCTTTGGATTCTTGGGGTGGATTTGTTACTGGGTCCGCGTTCGGACCGTTGCCCCACGCAGTCCAGACCAGTGGCTGCGGGGAAGTGTATGCGCTGGTCATGGCTTTGAGGCTCGCGGGGCCTGAGGCCATGGAGATTGTCACAGACTGCCAGGCCGTCCTGGACACCTGGAAGAAAGGGCCGACTCAGGATCTGGAAAAGGTCGCGTTCTCGGAGCTCTGGGAGGGCATTTTCAGACTCGCCGCTGAGATAGGCCCCGATAGGATTTCTGTGACTAAGATCAGGTCTCACCTCTCCCTGGCCCAGGCCCGTAGGTCTGCTGTAGAGGATTGGAAATGGTGGGGCAATAAGAAGGCTGACGAGCTGGCCCGTCGTGGGGCCGAGGCCCAACCCCACAACCCTTGGACGCGTGTACAGTTTAAAGGTTTGGCGCCGCTGATTCGGCAGTCGGCTTGGCTGATTGCGGAAATTATGGACGATTTATCGGGCCGTGGGTTTCCTGATGTCTCCAAAATCCGCAGGCCCCGTCGGGCCAAGCCGTCTCTCCTGGAGCTGGTCCCGGACCCGAGAGGCCATGCGGTCGAATGTATAGTGAAGGGTTCATATTTGTGTCTTCACTGCGGCGAGCGAGGGAAGACTCGCGCCGCGGTCTGTGTGTTTCCCTGCGGAGGGCCGCCGAAAATTGCGCGGACCTGCCACAAGAGCCATCGTCTGTGGCTGATGGGGGGGCGGGTTGCCTGGTGTGTGCGTTGCGCTGCGTTCGGAAGCGCTCGGGCCCGCCCGTACCTCCTCCAGGAATGCCACGGGGGTCCGCGTAATCGGCACGCAGAGGATTCTCTTAAGATGCTCAAGAGGGGGATCGACCCCAGCTCTAAGAAGTCTGTTGGGAGGTCGGTTCCCCTGGTCTGGGATGGGTCGTGCTGGGCGTCCAAGGCGGCGTGACCCTTCCCCGACCCCCCCCACCTCTTTTTCCTTCTTCTTTCCAGCACTGTTTTTCGCAGCTTTATTGCAGGCTTGGCCAGCGGTAACAGACTGCTATGGAGCCAACAGGAGCCAACAGGAGGAGGAGGAGGAGGAGGAGGAGGAGGAGAGGGCCTGCCCAGAGACTCCAAGGGACCTCGGCCACCTCGAAAGTGATCCTGTCGGGCGTTGGCAAAACTGGGTTTAGTGGGACCCGGTTTTAGTCATGTGTACTGGGGGACGCCCCCCCCGCCCCGTTCCACTAACCAGAACTGCCGTCACCCGAAAAAACACCAGCTGCGGCAGACCTGGTTTAGTGGTTCTGGCCAATTCAGGGGCTCCGGGGCCCTACCACTGACGGGGTCCCCTTACCTGGGGTCCTGGCTATACCCGATCCTGGCGGGAGACAGACCCCGACCTCGACCGTCTTAGACAGGTCAGGACGGAGGTTTCTCGCACTGCTCTGCCTCCAGTGCCCTCTCTCGCACCCTTGGCTGCCGCAGCTGGTCCGACGAGGAGGAGGAGGAGGAGGAGGAGGGAGGAGGAGGAGGAGGAGGAGGAGGAGGAGAGGAGGAGGAGGAGGAGGAGGAGGAGGAGGGAGGAGGAGGAGGAGGAGGGAGGAGGAGGAGGGGCCACAGCCTGCCGCAACTGGGGCAGCCAGAAGGGCCGCGGCGGCAGACGTCGGCGGCGACGGCGGAGGCTCCGGGCCCTCGATGCTCTTCAGAGTCGGGTATGGCCTTAAGACGGGCGCGTTCCCCCTACAGGAGGAAGATTCTGGAGTAGTGAAAAATGGGCTGGGGATGAGTTTGCCGACTATTTTTGGGTATGTGAAGAGCCTGTGTTGGTTATGTTTTATCTTCCGTCCAAAATCCCCCTGTAGGGGGACAGGCCCGACCTCAGTATATCCAGGAACCCTGTTAAGGGGAGCCGGTTAGTGATTGGACCCCGAAGCCCAACATGTTGTTTGGGATTGCTAGACCAGGTCTGCCGTAGCTGGTGTTTTGCGTGTGGCGGCCACTCCGGTTAGCGGAACGGGGCGCGGGGGGGAGGGGGCGCCCCCCAGTAGGCATCAAACCAGGTCCCACTGAGCCCAGTTCTGCCAACGCCCGACATAAAGGCTCGAGAGGGCCCTGGAGGACGGAGATGTGCGGAGGCTCTTGCGGAAGCCTTTGAAATCCTCCTCCGCCCCAGAGGTCTCTGGAGGTCCCCGCGGCGGCCCCTGCAGGCGCATGCGAAAGTGCTCGTCCCCAGACTTCGGTCCTCCTCCTCCGGACTCGAGGCCCACCTCGAGGGGCAGCGGCATTGCAACGGGTACTCACTACAGGGTACCTCGGAAAGCTGCCGAAAGCTGCCACTTTGGGGCCCCTCTCTGGCCTTGCAGCGTTGCCCACATCGCGGAGGGTTGGGTTCACCGGGTCACTGGCCAAAGTACCCGTCAGTGGCCAGGGGCGCTGAGAGGGGGGCGAGGCCAGGGCGAACGAAAGGGGGGCCAGGGCGAGCCCCCGCCTTCGTCTGTCTCGATATCTCAAGCATCGGCCCCGCGACGGAGCCCTCGGGCTCCCTGGGCTGGCTGCTCCTCCTCCCCCTCCTCCTCCTCCTCCTCCTCCTCCTCCTCCAACTCCTCCTCCTCCTCCTCCTTCCTCCTCCCTCCTCCTCCCCCTCCTCCTCCTCCTCCTCCTCCTCCTCCTCCTCCTCCTCCTCCTCCTCCTCCTCCTCCTCGTCGGACCAGCTGCGGCAGCCAAGGGTGCGAGAGAGGGCACTGGAGGCAGAGCAGTGCGAGAAACCTCCGTCCTGACCTGTCTAAGACGGTCGAGGTCCGGGTCTGTCTCCCGCCAGGATCGGGTATAGCCAGGACCCCAGGTAAGGGGACCCCGTCAGTGGTAGGGCCCCGGAGCCCCTGAATTGGCCAGAACCACTAAACCAGGTCTGCCGCAGCTGGTGTTTTTTCGGGTGACGGCAGTTCTGGTTCGTGGAACGGGGCGGGGGGGGCGTCCCCCAGTACCCATGACTAAAACCGGGTCCCACTAAACCCAGTTTTGCCAACGCCCGACAGGATCACTTTCGAGGTGGCTGAGGTCCCTTGGAGTCTCTGGGCAGGCCTCCGTGAGCCCGAGAAAGTCCGGAAGCATTCACATACCTCGAGTTTCGATCCTCGATCAGCAAAGCACGTGGCTAGCGAGAATCAGGATCGAGGCAAGGTAGGACTCGCAGCATGCGTCTTAGTATGTGCTTTCCCATGGGGGAACAAGCAATGACATAAATATAACAACTCGGAGGTCCACGCGGATTTCTCAGATCAGCGCTCGACCCTCCTCCCCGTCGCGTGGAGCGCGCCAGGGGCGGCGCCGGAGGCGCCGCCAGGGGGCCCCAGCGCCGATCCCATCTTTCCGCCCTCCCGCCCTCCCTCCATCCTCCCTCGGATTGGAGAGTGAATGTAGGGGTCGGGCGCAGGTTCCTGGCAATGGTGCCTCTATGGGCCTCGCGTGGGCGATACATTTTCGATTGCTGTGTACGGCGCGGGAACAAATTGAACCTCCCCGCCTCCCATGCGCGAGACTTGAGGGTAAACGAAGCAAGGAGTCGGGGGGCTGGGAAAAAGGCGACGAAGGTAACGTGCGCTGAGGGCGTAAGAGGAGAATGTTGGAATAAAAGCGGCGGGGTGAGTGTCAACGTCTGCCCAGCCAATCTGACATGCGGAACACGGCGCATGATCTTCAGGCCGTGGGCAACATGTGAATTCACATGTTGGGGGAGAACAACATGTGAATTCACATGTTGGGAAAGAAGAAATTGTGAGTTCACATTTGGACAACATTGAACATGTGAGTCCACATGTTGGAATGTTGTACATGATTTTTGAGGAAAGGGGCCAGAATGTGAATTCAGATGTTGGGAAGAAAGAACATATGAATCCACATATTGAGGAAAAAAGGAATCTG